TTGGTGTGACTATAATTTATAAACAACTTTTGAGTGACGCCTTAGTGACCTTGAGAATGTTCACCTAATTACTAAGAATAAATGAGGGTTGTAAAGCAATATAAAGAATAAGGATTCTGATCTACAGTTGATGATTAAGGTTAGGAATTAAATTTAGGGTTTTCATCACGATCTGATATCAGCTAAAATGCCGAAACGCTCTTTAGACCAACGGGTGAATGAATTTCGTACCAAAATCTAAGACTTGATATCCTGCCTGTTCTAAGCCCATACAAAGGAGGAGGTTTAGTCATGAGGTCGGAAACCCCACTCCATATAGAAAGATCTTGCTAAAAAACGCCAAACAGATTAAACAAATTAAACAATTTAAACTCTGCCCTCCTAGTTGAAGGAAAAATTATGACGTCTCGTGATGAAATCCGAGATTCTTCGGAAGTCACGAGGTCCATACCCCTTCTAACAACCAGAGTAACAATTCATATAGGTACGTGGAACGTCCGAACAATGTGGGAGACCTGGAGGACCAGTCTAATAGCAACGGAAATCAAGAGATACAGGTTGGTAGCATTCGAAATCAGCGAATCCTATTGGACCCAAGCTGGACAGCAAAGGTTAGACACGGAAGAGATGATGCTGTACTCCAGTCACAAAGAGAAATATGCTCCACACATGCAGGGAGTTGTGCTGATGCTGTCCAAAGAAGCTCGAAATGAACTAATCGGATGGCAATCTCATGGATCCGGGATCATCAAAGCATTCTTCAGAACATAGGAGGAGAGAATCAAGATGAACCTTATCGAATGTTATGCACACACAAATGATAGCAACGACGACAATAAGGGTTGGTTCTATAAGGGGCTGCAGTCAATCATAGCGGAGTGCCCAGGAAAGGACCTGACTATCCTGATGGGAGATCTAAATCCCAAAGTCGGAATAGACAACACCGGATATGAAGATATCATGGGAATACATGGACTGAATGGGGGGAAATGAACGAGAGTGGCGAAAGCTTTGCGAATCTGTGTGCATTCAACAAAATGGTTGTAGGTGGCACTATATTCCCCCACAAACTCATACACGAAACTGCAAAGGTCTCACTAGATCAAACTACAAAGAATCAGATGGATTATATCTGTATCACTAAAAAGATTAGAAGATCAATAGATGTAAGAACAAGGAGAGGAGCTGACATAGCTTAAGATCACCACCTGGTTGTGGCCAAGATAAAAATGAAGCTAAAGAGGCATTAGACAACTGGACAAACAGTATTACGAAGGTTCAATACAGACTTCCTTCGACATACTGACAGACTCAACCGATTCAAGACAGCTCTCAACAACAGGTTCCAAGCCTTACAAAATCTACTCGAAGAAGAGAAAACTACTATGGAAAACGACTAGAAAGGGATCAAAGAAGCATTAATTTCGACGTGTCAGGAGGTTCTGGACAGCAAGAAGCATCATCATAAGGAATGGATCTCTTGTTAAATATTTTTATCGCAAGTGATTATGTTCATTAAAGTATGCATCTAGCAGTCTCAATAATATTGTAAGTGTAACAATGTAATTTGTTATCTATCAAATTATTGGGAGAAAGTAAACCTTGTTCAGTCACTAATTTTAGATACGGGAAAAATCAAACGGATTCATATTTCCAGGTAAACATTGATAAATTTTTCCTACAGTTTCTTAATAAAAATAAAAATAGTTTCATAGACAATGGTTTATTTGAGTCGAATAGTATAGCTATAAAGCTTTCATTATCTTCACAAACATCGTCAACAAGACATATTCAGTAAGAATTAAGCCCAAAACTTCTCCGTACATGTATTGTTGTCACATGTCCTATTGATGTAAAATGTGATTGGTTGTTACACTTGTATTCATATTGTCACTGTATCAATTTGCATTTTTATTGATTGTTTGCTTGACCTAATATTTAACTCTGTATTTATTTATTGTTCAATACATGAGTACATGAACCAGATAGGTGTTGACGTATTTATTGATTAACAACATTTTTTTGCAAAATGAACATCTCATTAGTTAAACGAATTGTATAGTGCAGTTAGATCGACTGAGATCATAATTAGAATATGGGAATTAAACATAATCCCATCTGACTGGTCTCGATCGCTGATTGTCCCAGTTTATAAGAAAGCACAGAAATCTCCCTAGTCGTGACCACAAAGGAATCTGTTCGAATAATATAACACCTAATATATTTTCCCCAATAACCAGGGCTCGTGAAGAGAGAAATCGGGACAGTCAGACTCAGTTCAAACCTAGACGTGAACGTAACAACCAAATACCCACCCTTTGTCAAGTCCTGGAACATAAACATACTTCCCGACATCCGACTACAGTGTATTTCTTAACCTTAGACTTTAAGGCAGTTTTCGACCCTGTCGAATGTGAGGTTCTGTGGTAGTGTTTGTCATTAAAAGGCATACCAAACAAGTACATCAAATTTGTAGAGGTTCTTCACTTCAACACTATTGGTCAAGTTAAAGTTTATCGAGAACTGTCAACCTCAAGTAGTGTTCCTCAGGATTGTGCAGTTTCTCCACTCTTATTTAACTTCGTCATCGAAATCCTTTTAAAAATGATACTCTCATAGTCTGACTTTTCAGAGGTCGGTCTTCTACCAGAAGATTCGCTTATTGATTTAGAATACCCAAGTGATATCGTGCTGTTTGGTAAAGACGCTGAAAAGATATTGAGACCACTGTTGCCTTAAGCAATAATGCGAGCATGTTTAAGACGCGATTCTCTCCCTATAAATCAAAATTGTTAATTCAAAACTGGGCTGCGTCAACCTCTGCATTAATGATAGGGAGTGAAGTAGCTGAGCATGTCGATCACTTATAATTTATCTTGGACGTCTCATCAGTCCTGATGAATAGGTATTTGATGAAACCACGACACGGAATCAAAAAGTTCGGTCGGCTTTTGTGTCACTCATGAAGTGGGTGAGATATTAGTCTGTCAATCAAAGCACGAGTTTACTAATCAACAATCCGCTTGGTTCTACTTTATGGGTGTCAAACATAGCCAATAAGAACAGAGAATGTTCTCAGGTCACTATTATTCGATCATAGGTGAACCGATACACAGATTATACCTTTTTGTCTGCCGAGTGAGCAGTGTTGAAGTTACGCATAGGGCATTGCGTAAAGGTAGTGGATCGATTGATGAGGCTGCAAATCTTTATCAACTAAAGTTTTTGAGACATATTTCTCATGTCCTTAGCCATCACCTACAATGTTGTCCGCTGTAGGAATACATTAGAATGAAGCTAAGGATGGTAAATCCAATACTTGGCGCCAGTCTATAAAGTCATTCACAATAGAACTAAGTCGTGTGAATAGGTGTGAACCACCTGTTTGGAGTCCATGTGATTAGTATAGATGATTGTTACAGACTTTGTGTCACACGGTTCAAGATCATTCGCAATGACGTAGATACATTCGCTCCTTTTCTTCCACTAGAATCTGAATCCTAAGATTTTATACCTTATTTCTTTTTCTATACTCATCTTTTCTTTTCTGCCTCTGATACAGTTACTACAACCACTTATGTAACCGTTGGATGATGGCTCGGTGGTCTAGAGGTTAGACATTCATGCGCATGACCGAAGGTTCTGGGTTCAAATTCTGCGTACGGGATCGTGGATGCTCACTATTGAGGAGTGCCATACTAGGACAAAACGGACGTCCAGTGCTTCGAGATTCTGAATGGTGGTATAAGATTAATCAGTTCATGATCTCAATTAGAACTCTAAGATTTATTTTATGATACTTTTATCTCATTGTCCTCACGTGCTACGGCAACTTGAACTGATGCACTTATTAGTTAGGATCTCTGTTACGCATGATGATAAAAAAATTACCGATGCCATCACGGCCACTGTGCACAAGCATTCCGGGAATATAATAGTACATATGTTGTATGGATCAATACTTCGGTAAATCATCAGCCTTGAACGCTAATTATTAGTTATTTAGTTGAGATCATGAATCGATCGCTGTTAGACTACCTTTGAAAACCTAAGAGCACCGGACGTCCGTTTCGTCCTAGTATGGGACTCATCAACATCATACATCTACGATCCCGCTCGCGAGGTCCTGGGTTTGATTTATGATGTCAATCAAAAAATCAACAATCTCCACAACTTCACACTGATATTAGCTATTTAGTCGAAATACTTTAATGTCTGAATATATTATGATATTTTTAAAACCTTGCTTTATGTAATTCTTTGGATAAATATCATTTTCAGATCACAAAAATTTCTAAACATTTCCTAGTTATAAGTTTAATGGTTCATTAATAATTCACATATGTCGATCAACACTTTGTTCAATGATTTTTCAACTATTTACAGCGTTTAATTTTAAACGTTTCAGATTATTTATTTATGTATAATGTTCTTGTTTTTTTTCTTAATCTCAGATCTATCCATATAACTAGAAAACATACTCTATACAGTTATGTCGTAACTTTTAATTTATGACCAAAGAAGAAAATTAATTTGGTGATTAAATATAATGTATAATACAAATGATGTAGTCTAATCATCAAGATGAAAACAAACAAACAAACAAATAAGAATTATTAAATTAAATTATAAACCACATTATTCAATGCAAACAAATCATAGTTTTCGTATACTAATTACAAACATCAGTTGAATGTACACGATGTTTGTTTGTTTTGATTTTTTTCTTTGGTTTCGATAATAAATTCATCATTTAATTCATACGGTTTACTTGACAAAAATATGGATTTATTTAATTGATCAATAGATTGTTAATTAGTACTGATAACAATCGAATAATATTAACATATCTCAACATACATAAAGGGAAAAGCAAGATTCTCCGATACAACAAAGCATGCAACAATCGAATCACAATTGACGGAAAAGATTTGGAAGATGTGAAAACCTATACATATCTGGACAGCATCATTGATGAACATGGTGGTTCTAATGCACATATGAAGGCGTGGATTGATAAAGCAAGAGCAGCATATTTACAACTGAAGAACATCTGGAACTCAGAACATCTGTCAACCAACGCTAAGGTCAGAATTTTCAATACAAATGTCAAGACAGTTCTACTGTCTACTAAGGCGGAAACCAGTAGAACTACGAAATCCATTATCCAGAAGATACAAATGTTTACTAACAGTTATCTACTCAAAATACTTCGGTTACGTTTGCCAGACACTATCAGCAACAACCTACTATGGGAGAGAACAAATCAGATCCCAGCAGAGGAAGAAATCAGGAAGAAGCACTGGAAGTGGATAGGACACACATTGAGGAACGCACCCAGCTGTGTCACAAGACAAGCCCTCACTTGGAATCCTGAAGGCCGAAGGAGAAGAGAAGGACCAATGAATACACTACGCCGGGAAATGGAGACAGACATGAGAAAAACGAGCAGCAATTGGATAGAGGTAGAAAGGAAGGCCGAGGACAGAGTGGGCTGGAGAATGGTGGTCGGCAGCCTATGCTCGATTGTGAGTAACAGGCTTAAGTAAGTAAGTAATATTAACATAACTTTTATTATACTCCTAAACAGTTATAATGATATTTATCCATTGAAGGGATCAATGTCCGGGTGATTCATAAAGTTATTACATAAAAATAGTACCAATGGCATATCGTGAGATGACTAATTTATTAAAATAATAACAGAAAGTATCGGTATGGTAAATTTCTGGTAAAAAGTGACTATCTAAACAGCAGCTCGAAATGAAATCATAGGTTACATACCGATAATCAATAATATATTAATGCATACTATTTTATTATAATAAACTGACTAATCCAAAATTAACCTGCTAAAGTCCATGTAAATCTGATCTTATTCAAGTATAATTGAATCATATTTTGGATGAGATCAAAATAGATATTTCTACAAAAAAGCATAAGAATTTAGTGATAAAATAAAATAATGTATAACTTTGAAAAAATTAATGTTTATTCTAAAATTGACTCTCCTTTACTAAAAAATAACTAAAAGGACTGATGTATTGTGGTGTATGCTATTTAAGCTGACAGATATAGGAACCATATGGCAGCAGTCGGCATTGGAATGCAGATCAGCAGAAGATTGAAATGAAAAGAACATGAAGAAAATCGGAAAGCAACCGAGATAAAATCAGAATTCATAGAATAATGGAGTATATAAAGGACAACACAAAGTAGATATGCAAATGTATTTAATGTATAATTTCTATAATTTTCTCCACCTGAGTTTTCGTTCACTACAGTACAGTGAATAAGTAAAAACATGGAGTGATATTCAGCTTTCACATCATTACTTCTCTCTGTAACTAATTGTGTGAAAGACTAGCTTCCACACTGAAGTTGTCAGCAAGTTGAATCTGGGGGTTGTTCATGGTTATATGTACTATCTTCATATTCAGGTACACTGAGATATAATATCGAAACTCTTATCAAAAAGAGAGAAAAATGATCAGATTTAGTTTGATATTAATTACTCATTCGAAAAAAAGCATGTTTCAAAATAATCAGAAGACTTGAATTTTCCAATGAAACTTGAAGTATAGATTTGCCATGGACCCTAAACCGAATCAGGTGAACAAAAATCCTGAAAGTTTGAAAATAGTGTCTAATTCATAATCGATGGAAGCATCGTCGGAAGTTAATTTCCCACGACAGTCGTCAACAGAATATTTTCACATACCATTTGTTCCTTGAAGATTATGGTATCTATATTCACCAGTGGTTTAGGAACACAATTTTAAACTGCCTTAATTAAATATTCTGTATGTATAAATATATTTGAGCACCAGAAACTTTCTTAACTCTCACAGTGTTATGTGAATATATCAGCAAACTGAAAGGAATATACTGAACTTTTGGGAAATAAAATATTAACATGCAGTGATACAAGCATACTTACAGAAAGAGATAGATGTATCCGGATCCAGTCAGTCCTTAAGGTATTTAAAAGTCCTGAAAAGGTAATCTTTCTAATACTTCTGGATTCTTGCCACTATATAAGAGTTGAAAAATTAATTTGTGTCAAAAGCTTCTAAGGTGAAATACAAATAACGAGATGATTTATGTGAATTTTAGTTTTGCATATTATTCCTAACATTAATTCCAATTAATATCTCACGGAAACTGTATTAGTGTTTCAGTAGTGTTGGCAAACCAAAATGGATTTTTATTGTTAATATGGGGTACTGGCCAGAACTTTACATATCGAAATAACAAGTATGTAGAAATATGATCAATAGTTTACGACACACATGAATTAAAAACTTAATGACCTTAAAATTAACTTACCGTCACGTGACTTAACATCCTGTAACAGATTAACAATAATAAATAACTTGGAATAACAGTTTATGATTGTTATCGTTTCTATTATTATTATTATTATTATTATTATTATTATTATTATTATTATTATTATTATCTACATTTCGTTACTTTGAAATCAGGTTCTATCAACAACCAGAATTACACTGCCTCTATATAGGTGTGATACAAGGATTACAACGATCCTGAAGCCATTTGGAATCAAAGACGCTCACAAACCAATGCAATTACTTCATCCAATATTATGCAGACTAAAAGAAACAACACTAAAGAAGGACGGATATAACATTATCTATAAAAGAAATTGCACTAATGACGAGAAATATTACAGTGGTCAAAGTGAATACTCCTTTCATTTATGCGTGACTCAACATAGATTAACAGTTTAGCAAGATGATACGCTATCACTAAGATCAATGGATAGACAGCGATGGAATTTAATTCGATTGGAGAAACGCTAGAACTCTGCATTGGAGAAAATCTAAGAATGACAGAGGATTTCTAGAAGCATAGGGTTCCTATAGAATTGCAATAAACAGACACATTAGCGTAGGTCACATTAACGAACACATAAGAGAAAAGTAAGTCAATTACAAAATCAGAGGTGAATCAACAAAGACAATCAACATGAATGGAAGGATAAATGATGAAAACAAACCCTACAAAGATACCTAATCATAAACAAAACCATTACAACGAACTGATATCACACTTACTAAGTAACTGGGAAACTCACTTCATGGTAAAATGAGCGCGTAAGATGTCCCCCAGAATGGCAATCAATGCACCACAATTGCACTATCTGGTTTGGAGAACACGAACCCCTGAAAATTTAATGTTGTTTAAAAGTTTAGCGTATTTTCTCTAGAATAAATTCTCCTAGCCTCAAATAAAGACCGTCAAACAATGTATTCAGTAGTATAAATGAACAGGTGGGTTCGCATGGAAAGGGGTCAATGAAGCGCTAATTCCGACGTGGCAGGAGGTCCTGGGTCGCAAGAAGCAGCATCACAAAGAATGAATCTTTATCAAAGTCCTAAACAAGATTCATGAAACGATGAACACGTAGACAGAAATTAAAAACATCCGAACAAGAACAAAGAAACTCATGGCACAGATCAAATACACAGAAGCAAACAAGCAAGTGAAGGAAAGCATTAGAGCCCACAAGCAGAAATTCGCGGGAGATCTAGTAGCGACACAGAAAAAAGGTGTGAGAGAGAAATATGTGACAACCATATGACTCAGCAAAGAAACTAGCAGGGAAATATAGCAAACTGGAGAGATCAGTCAAGGACAAAGAAAGCAACTCGATCACTGAGATTCAAGTACAGTGAAACAGGTGGGTAGAGTACTCGGAAGAACTCTCGAATAGACCAGTCCCATTGAACCCATCAGACATCGAAGCGGCACATACAGATCTTCCTATAACTGTCGCTCCACCAACAATCGAAGAAATCAGCATGGTAATCAGACAAAGGAAGAGTGGGAAGGCAGTAAGAACACACAACCTACCAGCCTAGACGCTGAAGTCAGACACAGAAATGACTGTAAAGATTCTCCACATTCTCTTAAGAATAGTTATAGAGGAAGAACAAGTGACGACAGACTGGAGTGAACGATATTGCATCAAGACGTGAGCAAGTGTGAGAACTTCAAAGGCATCACTCTACTACCAGAACCAGGAAAAGCAGAAGGAACACACAGCCTGCCACCCTAGACACTGAAGTCAGACATAGAAAATTAGGAGAAGACTCTGGAGAGGGATAAGACACATTGTGGAAATCACCAAACTGCATCAGAAAGCATGCCACAACTTGAAATCCTGAAGGCGTTAAGAAAGAGAGCAGACCAAAGAGCACATTGTGCCTGGAACCGGAAGGATATATCAAAAGAATGAACAGCACTTCGGAGATTATGAAAGAGAATCTAGTACAGGGTTGTTTTTCGAGTCGTGGTCACCGGCCTATGCTCAGAGAGGGGTAACAGAGGATAAGTAATTAAGTCTCGACTCTAATCACTAACGGGCAATATAACTTGACGTCTCTCTCCAAACATATAAACGGGTATTTGTGATCCCCTCAAGGAAAGTTAGTTCGAGATAATAAAAAATCATTCATGAAGTGTATTCTTCGCAGCTTCGTTTTAGTTTGGACACCATTGAAAACCGAGGATTACTGGACAGCTGTTTCTTTCTAACATGAGTCTCCTCACGACTCGAAAGACCCTTTCTTTAACAGGGTCGTGAGTGGATAATTATGAGAAGTCCCACTCTAGAAATAAATAGCTGTTCATTTCTACATAATTCTTAACAGTATTCCAGATGAGATCAGTCTGTGACGAATGCAATCAACAAATTAAACCGATCTCCATAAAACCCCGTCAACAAAAGTGTTCATTATTGTATTCTGAATTACTATTTACTACTAAGGTTTAGGAGATGAAAGTACTCTCATTCAACATGTACAGAAGAAAAAAACGAGTTCTATTGATTGCTAATGTGTAACGTACTTTTCAATCCTATATATATATATATTAGTTTAGACTTATGTAAAGTACAATAACAGGTCATGTGGTGAAATAGGGTTATCGGGCATTCCACTTATTTTAAAAAATATCATGATGAAATAACAATCTATTATACGGATTTAATTAATTTTACAGATATCATTGGATAGAAAAATCAATTAACTTAGGATTTTCTTTATCTTTTATTAACTGATATCAGCCAATTCAACGATATGTTTTCACTATCAATAATACCCAGTCACTGTTGTGCTACTATTGGACTAGGTGCTAAAAGAACTCAGATTAATTTTCATCAGAATGAACTGAAACAATATTTTTCTTTCTTAAAATATTCTGATGAAATTATCTTTTATTTTTACTTAGTTCTAATTATTCAAACATCTCACTTCAACATGATAAAGTGTTTATATAGAGGCAATATAGAAGGTATATGAAAAATATTCAATTTGTAGACAGCTTACATAGCAGACTAACTATCGCTGAAAACTAACGAGCAACGGATAGCTGTTTTGTAGAAGCATGAGACTTCTCAGTGGTGTTAACTTGCAAACCTGACGAGGATAAACCCGAGGACATTTAGACTTCGCTGGGAGTGCATTCCGTCTAGACCCACGGGCTGCAATTCAATGGTTTAATTCGAGGACTTCAATC